TGGGCATGGTGGCGCATGCCTGTAGTCCCAGCTACTTGGGAGGCTGAGGCAGGAGGATCGCTTGAGCCCAGGAATTTGAGGTTGCTGTGAGGGAGGCTGATGCCACACGGCACTCTAGCCTGGGCAACAGAGTGAGACTCTGTCTCGAAAAAAAAAAAGGACTACGACTTTCCAAGGTCTTTCAGCGCAAAAGGAATTACTTCCTTCTGTCTTCCCTCTACTTTTCTGGTATTTATACTGCTTGAAATGTTGTAAAATATTTTTAAAAACGTAAAAGTGAATCCACAAACAAGCCTTTCTCAGGACTTCTACTAAATGCAAGTCCTTCTCTTGGGCAACATTAAGAACATACAGAAGTATAAGCCATGCACTCAAAACACATGTGCTCTGGCTGAGAAGTAGGATTTGCACTTTGTACGTAGATACAGATAGAAACTGAGTCTCTCATTCATTCATTAGGTGACTCCTAACTAGCACTGAATAGTCTGCCCTCCTGAATATTTTGCTCCCCTTCCCAGAGTCGTATAATTTTTTTTTTTTGAGACAGGGTCTTGAGTGGCCGACAAACACAGGCAGGGCCACTCCAGCTGGACAAATACGTATCTATTTTAGGAAAGTCTTAGCATTGTCTTTTCGGCCTGTCGCCTCGCCCCGTGTATTGCCCGAAGGACGCGAACATTGTCACTGCAGTTACTTCGTTTCTCTGGGCTGTGTTGTTGAGTTTCTGCGTAGCGGGGTTGACCCACACAGGGGCCAGAGAACTGCCACAAAGAGAGGGTGACCACACGGTAGGGGCCATGCTTCCCTTCCTTCCTGGTAGTCCTCACTGAGGCTGTCACGCGGAGCTCTTAGCTTCAGTCTTGCTCTCTTTGAATTTTCCTTCTCCGCCCTGCTCTCCCGCACTCATCGAATAGGAGAGAAGACAGGAGAATTGGACAGTGGAGGAGGGAGAAGAATTTGTCCCACTTCTGTTTGACCATGTTTCAATTTGTCCGTTGTCCTGACCGTACAGATGCTCTGGTCCAAGGTGTGGGCTGCCCAGTGTCGTTTGGGTCGAGTTGTCAGCCCGAGCGTGATGCAGCTCACATAAAGGGTTTTTATTTTTTTATTATTTTTTTTATTCATATATTTTTATTTAATTTATTTATTTTATTTTTATTTTTCATATGTATATTCATAATTATTTTTTGACTTGGAATCTGACAAAAGGGCTTCAAAAGGGCTATTTATATTATATTGATGCTAGGCCAGGGCGCGGTGGCTCA